AAGGGTGTTGGTTCAGTTGCTCTATTGCATTTATTAGAGTGCCTCACTGCAGCTGACCTGCATTTCCTCCCACACATATAAACACAAGAACACATTAACAAACTGTAACAGTGACGGAGAGTTTTAGATCATGTGGAAGATTTTTTAGGTTTAAAGTAGGAAATTATTTTAATCATAACTAATCATATTATACTGTATGTCTCTCTGTGCATGTGCAGCCTTCTTCCTGTGTGTGTGTGTGTGTGTGTGTGTCTGTGGGTGACCCTGAGTATGTTACACATTGTAGTGGTGTGTGCCAAGTAGGCCTCATCTAAGAGAAACAAACACAGAGAAAAACCTGTTTGTTCCAAATAAGTGTTGAAATGTCTTTGAAGGAGAAAAGCACATACACACAGAGACTTAGTTGTAACCATATTGAATTACAGTAATACATAAAGTAAATAACATTTTGATTATTTAAAAAAAATATCCCAAATCACCTCAACTGGCTCCTCTCAATGTGGAGGAGTAGCAGCTCTACGTTGAGCTCCTCCAGGATCACCGAGCTCCTCTCCCTATTGAGTGTAGCCCACCACCCTATAAAGAAACTCATTTCTGCTGCTTGTTTCTTTGGTCACCCTCCAGAGCTCATGACCACAGGTGAGGGTTGGGATGTAGACCGACTGGTAAACAGAGAGCTTTGCCTTATGACTCAGCTCCCTCTTCACCACTACAGTCCAGTACAGTGACCACATTGCTGCTGCCACCTGTCCCAGCCTGCGGCCGATCTCACAATCCCTCTTCCCATCACTCGAACAACACCAAAAGATACCTAAACTCCTCCACCTGGAGCAGGTCCTCCCACCTTACCTGCATTATTTCATAATTTACACTCTAAAAACTCTCAACATGGATGTAACCTAATACATTTGGTGTGTTTGTGCCTCTGGGTCGACTTTTTGCAAGCAGGAGGCTTTTTTCTGTTCTGAAGAGTCTTATATTCTGTTTGTATTTTTGGTTCTGTAAATTATTACCGAGTCTGGGACTGATTCTGATTACAGGATTACTCTCTGTAAACTGTGATAAAGACCACAGGAGAATCAGCTGGGCTTCATTCAGTGATCCACTCATTACACTGTTTTATACTCACACTTTATCCCTCAGAATCAACACAGAACCTGTTCTTATACAACACCATGCCATCATGATCCATTTCAGACTCCATAAGTCTTTAATGTGGGGTGAAACTCAGATTTGCATTAACAGGCCTCAGTCATCCACTTTCTCCCAGAATAGAGCAGCACTTTCAGCAGATGTTCAGCTTCGTTCAGCCAAACTCACTCAAGCACAACACACAGCACTGCACTGAATCTACAGCTGACCAGTGCCCCCTGTGGAGACAGCAGACAGCAGGCAGAGCAGTGAGGCTGAACCCTCAGACAGCTGCAGAGAGGAGGGAGGAGCAGAGACTCAGAGGGCTTCACTGTGATTCTAATACATTTTTATATACAAACTGTTTCATTCTGACTGACTTTCCAGCCACATGACACAAAATATTTATATACTCTAAAAATGAACCTCAACGAAGTTTGACTTCATGCTCTGTTTTCATATTTGAGTTTATACTGTTTTGTACGTTTTAACAGTGTCAGTGCATAAAGAAGAATAATAATGTAATTATATAATAATAATAATAATAATAATAATAATACAGCACTTAAATTATTTGTACTTAATTTTAAACTATATGTTCATTTTAAATACCTTTTAAATACATCATAAACCTGAAAAAGATTATTTCGAGCCACAAATCAGAATTAATTTCTATTGTTCAATTTTTCTTAATGAAGTTTATTCAGTGGAACTGAATTATGGGAAAAATTAAATTACTAAATGCTTCATATTGATAGTTATGAAACATTATTATTTGTATTGATTATTAAGGTAAATAGTTAGTATTTAGTCTTAGAGAATATTATCAGTGTTAATGTAGACTCTGTTCTGCTGGTTTAGATCAGAGGGCTGTGCTGTTTGCATATGTGAGCTGCTTCACTGCTCCACACACTTTAAGAGCTGCAGTGCTGATCAGTCTTCAGTCCTTTCAGAGACACACAGCACAATGATGATCATACTGGTTCTTCTGCTGGGAGCACTGGGGCTGATCACTCAGGGTGAGAGGAACTTTTCACTAATTAAAAAAACTGGTTGTCAAATTTCAGAACTATTTTTATAGTTTATTTTTTGTTTATTTAGACTCTGTGAATATTCTGGAAGAAGGAGATTAAAAAGTGTCATTTTTCATGTACTTATTTGTCTTTTGTGTTTCAGACTCCATGGGGGAAATAATTCTGACTCAGTCTCCAGAGTCTCAGTCTGTTTCTCCAGGAGAGACTGTTAGTCTCAGCTGCAGAGCCAATGTGGATATTGATGATGATCTTCACTGGTACCTGCAGAAACCCAGAGAAGCTCCTAAACTCCTGATTTATACAGCCACCACTCGTCAGTCTGGAATTCCAGATCGTTTCAGTGGCAGTGGCTACAACAGAGATTTCACTCTGAAGATCACTGCAGTTCAGCCTGAAGATGCAGGAGATTATTACTGTCAGCAGGATGAAGCTACTCCGTTCACACAGTGTTAGAGTGGCGTACAAAAACCTCAGCAGTAGAGGAGCCGCTCTGACTCAGAGACCCTCACTGATCAGAGAACAGCTGCTCAAAAACCTCCCTCAGCTGTAAAGAGGGAGGTTTCTCCAAGTTCCTGATATAAGAACAGCTACAAAACACTACAGTATTGAATATTTTCTCTTTCTGGGAAGATTTTTTCTTAAATCCAGTCTTGAAAGCTGCTTCTGACTTGCACTTCCATGATGAGATCTGTTCCTGATAGATCAGAAACCATTCCAAGGCCTGTCCTGGTGGACATCACAGTTTTAGCCATCAGCACTGATCCAAGAGGATTTGTCTTCATAGTAATAAGCTGCAAAATTGATTTTATACACACTTTGTATTTTTAGCACACAGTCTATAGTTTAAAAGTTTTTTTGATAGTCTACATGATCGCAAAAACTATAAAATTCTTTGAGGTGCTAAATACATTATTTGTTCCAAAAATTGTCAAATCCATGAAGATATACAAATTCTGTTATCATTCACAACTCAGATGACATATCTGAGTATTCTAATGTATCCTCAAAAATCCTACATATAACATGTAAGACTATCATTTCAATACTTTATAATAATAAACATACTCAAAACTAGACTAGGTTTTAAAATGCTAATACAGATTAATTCATTTATTAATTCATTCCTTAATTTCTGTGATGATTAAATTCTTTCTTTCTTCGATTGTCTGTCCATTAATTCAGCACTAATTTTTGACACAAACTAATTGTTGGTTGGTTGTTATTTCTGTCTTTGCTTGTCCAAATTCCAATCAGAGAGGAAAATAAGAAGTTTCTTCACCAAGCTGTGCACAAACAAATTTTGATCAGTAAAATACAGAGATAAGGAGAGGGAGAAACGGGGCGGTGAATTTTTCATTAGCAGAATGGAATCTTTGTTTCTCTCAGAATAGAGCAGAACTTTCACCAGATGTTCAGTGTTTGTCAGCCAGACTCACTCAAGCACAGCACACATCTAACACTCAAGAACAGACACTGTTCATAACGTGTGTCAGGTCTGTCAGGCTGCTGAACACTGTGTCTGTCCTGGAGCTGCTGCTTTACTGTTTCCCATCAGAGACGCATTAGGACTTGTGTATTTATACCTGGCAGCTTCCACAAGAGTCTACAAGCTCTCTCGCTCTCATGATGAGTTTCTCAGCCATAGATTTGATCTTTCCTGCTGTTGTTTCTGTTTCATCCTGTTTCTCTGTGTGACTGATGACAGCATGATCATCACAGCCTCACTTCAGATGTCATTACATCATGATTAAGGCTCGATACACAGCCTGTCAATATTCAGCGAGACAGTAACTCAACATCAGTACCATCTGTACAGAACTATCTGGTGAAGAAGTGGAGTGAACTGCACCTTAAAGAAACAGCCTTAATCTCACTGAGATCTCAGTCTCATATGACCTGTTCAGGCCAAACTGCCCCATCAGCTGTTCTCAGAAATGAGTGTGACGTCACTGTAAAATATGAAAATGCTGGTTTCTTTCTTATGAAAAAAACAGTCCACAAATTTAGAATAACAGTCGTTCTGTCCAATCAGATGTAGGAAAGTGACATTATGACACTGACTAAATGAACTGAAATGTAAATGAATGTGAAAGTGAAGTTCTCTAATGTGCTGCACACACACACACACACACACACACACACACACACACACACACACCCACACACACACACACTACCACACACACACACACACACACACTCACACACACACACACACACACACACACACACACACTCACACACACATTCATATCTGCTTCAGTCTTGATGGGTTTTGTGTTTGTGAAACTCAGATTTGCACGAGCAGGATGGTCTTCCCTTCCCAGAAAGAAGCAGCTCTGTGTCCAGATGTTCATCAGAGTTCAGAGTTCAGAGCAACATCACTTTAGTTTCAGCACCAGCATGAAGAGCCAACCTGCCTCAGTCTAGCATTAACTGACTACAGATACAGGAGAAGGAGGAGACTGTGGCCTGAATACTGTGATTATATACATTAACAAGGAAAACAGTATAACAGCATTATTGTATAAACACTTCATATTCATTGCATAACATTAGAAATTATACATTCCCTTTCTTTACAATATTTTAAAATTAAGCTAACTTAAATCTGTGTTTAAGAGATTAATATACAGATGCATTTAATCTCCGACTGATCATGATTATCATTGAACCGCTGTAGATCATTAGATGTGCCTGGAAATGTTCTCCTATATTAACAGCAGGAACTTTCTCTGAACTTCACAGACTTAAAGACTCTCTAAAGCATTTCTGAGTCTAATGATGAAGTTACCATGAAATTACCATCAGACAATAAAACATACAGTATTGTTGATTGAAACTCTTTATTTTCTTTAGTCAAATAATCAGATCATCATTTCAGCATTAATCACAGACGTGTTTGAGCTCATTTGAGAGTGAGAGGAGCTCTATCAGCTGAAACCCCCGTGTGGTCCTCACTGCTCAGCACTGATCTCTCCTCAGTGTCTGGCTGACAGGAGGCTGGGAGTCCTTGGTGGCCTCACAGGTCACTGTGTTCTTTAGCCACTGCTCCTCCTGGAGGGTCAGGGTGCTGCTCCAGCTGTAGAGGCCGTCGTCCTTCTGCAGAAGCCCGGGGCTCTCGCTAACCCCCGAGCTCCAGCTGCTCCCACCCACCTTCCAGCTCAGCCTCCAGTCTGAGGGGAAGCCCTTGTTGGCCAAACACACGAGTGTGGCCGTCCCCTGCTGCAGCGCCTCACTGGAGGGGGGCAGGACCGTGAGGGTGGGCGGGGCCAAACCTAGGAGACAAAAACACAGGAAGGGACACGTGTCAATCAACCAGTACAGACACACCAGAGTGGGTTTCACTTCTCTTATTTTGTACAGAGCTGAACTGAGTTCAGTGGAGCATTAAAATGTTTCACCCTCTAATTATAACCTGCTTTACAGTTAAACTGTTTCTCAGAGCTGTGGCCATCAAAACTGTCCTGTTTTTAGAAACGTTTTAATATTTTCTATACCAGACAATAAAATTAGGAAAAATAATATATCTTATAATGTAAAATTAACATTAATGTTGTCTCTCTAAAGCAATAACTGAAAATTTAATTCAGAATAGAAATAATAATATCTTAAAAATAAAAACAGACTACATCTGTTCTTAAAATATTTGTAAGTATTTATTAGAACCTACACTGTGATAATCCAGTGTGAGAATAAGAATTACAGTGAAAGAGCTGCACTGAGAGTCTACTGTAAATAACAGATCTTTATACTGTTAAAATAAACTCAGTAATTAAAGGCAAGTTGAGAGAAATTCACTGAAACATTTATACTTTTATTAACGACAGTTCAGAAACAGACAGTCAATTAAAACTCTCCAAACACAGTAAACACTGATACTGTTAAATAAATAAAACTAATAAATACTAAACATGATGTACAACATCATCCAGTACATTGATTTTTCAGAATTTATTACCAGATTAATTATGAATAAGAAATAAAAAGCTACTTACGGCCAACTGACAGTTTGGTTCCTCCACCAAAAGTCCACCACAGTGATACAAACTCATTTAGTGTCTGTACAAAAACCTCCTGCTCTAAAGACTCTGCTCTCTCTGTGCTTCACTAACAGCTTTTTCATATCAGTCATTAAATCTGTATGATAGTTTATAATCAGCAGATAAATGTATAAATTCTGAAACCCTGAACTTTTGTTTTTATTATTTTTAATCTTGTTTGTTTGTTTAAACTGAGGTCACACATTGTTATATCTGTTCTGAAATCGCTAATTTGTGTGTTAAACTGTAATATCATTATAAAATATTTACATTTTTTGTTATTTTACTTGATTTTAATTTGACCTTTGGATTTAAATAATAATACATTTTCTCAATAACAGAAAACAGTTGAAGAGCTGCTATGTATAAAACATCTTTTGTTTCTGTCGAGTAACAACATTAACATAGATAAATGAACAAGTTGATTTCCTGCTAAAAGAGAGAAAAGTATTGTAATAAAATGTGTGTGTAATTTTTTAGGCGCCCTGCATGCTGTGTGTGGTGGAGTTCCTCCACCTTGTCAACTCTGCACTAGAGACGACTGCACAGCAAGTAGCTGCGAATCCATCACGAGACAAGACCTGATACGCGGGGAACTGTACATATGAGATCCCCCAGTCTCGACATTAAGAGATATCACACGTGGTCTGGCAGTTTCGTCGCAGATTGCCGTGATGCTGCTTGCGAAGATCAACGTAGGGCGGTCGGGAGAGTGATGATGGGTCTGGCAGATGGAGAGTCACAGTAAAACCTCAACTGATGATTAGAGGCTCTACAGGAGTGCACAATAAAACAGTCTGAGAACAGTGACAGTGTGTTCAGTCAACACATTTGCAGCAACTGAAGCGATGAGGAGCCTGAGTGTAGGAGGCGACCAGGTGTGAAGACGAGTGCGCGAGGCTGGTCTAGGTCGGGTAGGGCACAGCTCGAGGACTGAGCGGAGAGAGAGACGCGCGTGGTTCCATGCTGTAGACGCAGAGCACAGGATGCACGCAGCAGATTGGAGCATGCATAGGGTGAGGGCACTGACTTTGCAGGTGAGCAGCATTGCTTCAGTGCTCTGAGAGTTTATATCCTGTGAGTTTAACACTTCATGACTGAGAGCTGCTGCACAACTTCACCACAGCAGACATGACTTTGACCACCATCTCATCTGACTCTGATCTCTGACTCAAGGTACACTCCGTTATACATTAATACTGTTATACGTGTATGAGTGCTGATACTAAAAACAATATCATATGTATTTGTAGTCACTTGATTGTTCACATTTATTTC